AAACAAACTTAATCTAAAACCTAGTCACTACTTCTAGAAAATAGGACACTACAAGGAACAAGTACAACAAGTTTTGATCTCTTGTTTTGAACTTCATCAAACAACACTTATTCAAATACTAAATAAAACCAACAAAAGGCTAATTTTTTTATTAAAGTCAGAATTAAACCCAACAATGAACAGTTAGGTTTTGTAGCTTCCGACTTTCACCACCTTATTTTGAGTTTGTACCAACTTTATCCCCTTGCATTGGTGGATGCATTGTTCTGAACACATGGTATTTCCCTATGCTTTTCTGGTCCACTCATCCTCCCTACTTCATCGACTTCCCCATTCTTCTTCTATGTTTTTCCATTCTGCCCAGGTAAATTTTTTTTTTTGTTTGATGTTCGTCGTTTATGGTTTCTTTCATGTTTTCTACTTACGATTTTCAATTTGTTGCGCCTAATTTTCATTAGTGGTAGTTATTTTCATTGTTGTCCTTTTGCTACCATATGACCACTTCCACACTTGCTTTCTAATCCATTCAACATTAACGATATGTCAAATCTTCTCTATGTCTCTCTCACCAGGTTTGAACCCCTCCTAACCCTCCGATGTCGTTTCATCGCCTTCAATCAAATCGGCGCCACCATGAAAGGAAGACAACCTGTCAGTCCATAACGAAATCATGACCGACAATGAAGACGACAATACTTCAAATCTTCATATGTCTTTCCCTTTTGTTGATTGTTAATCGGATATGTGACGGTTTTGCCCCCTCATGCCTTTCTACCACTTTTACTTCCTTTCGGTCCACCTTATGGAGGATTAAACTAGAACCTATCATCTTCCTCTTTTATAAAACCCCTAAAATCTACAATTTAGAAGGAGCAAGTTTCTCAAGTCTTCGTTGAATCTCACTCTGACTACTTACAAACCATGTAATTAAGTTTCCTCTAAACGGTCTTATTCTGGCCATGATGTTTTTGATATCAAGGATTTGAGACTAAAAAATGAGTTGTTTAGGGAATCCAATAGAATTCACTTAGGGAATCTAGGAGTGGGTGTACAATATGCTTTCTGAAACTCACAATCACTTCCAAGTTTGTTTCTCAATCACTTCCTTTTTGTTATTTATTTATTTTTTTGTTTTTAATCTGAGATGAGTATAAAAATATATGTTGTTTTTGGTGGCTTCCTGTCACAATCCACTTTCTGATGACGTGCTAATATTTTATAATAAAAAAATGTGTATTATACACTTATGCAGGAAGAGCAAGAGGCTTGAGATTAGTTTTATGCACTTTGGATACCTGATCTTTGTATGAAAAGGTATGCCAATTTATAAATTTTGACAATTATTTTAGATTTATTGATATACATTATTTATGAGTATCCACAACTAAAAATGGTAGAAGAGGAACAAAAATTTTCATTAGGGGATGTTGAGTTGGTGAAAAGGTTGGATGATAGTGCTTCCACAACCATGTATCGGGTAAAAACTCAAATATATGAACAATTGTAAGTCTTTTGTGTTTAATTGTCAAAACATAAAATTATGATTTAGTATAATATAATGTTAAAATGAAAAGACATTTCTAAAGCTTTCATTTATTTAAATACAAAACATTCATGCATTGAAGGTAAAATTAAGTTTATAAATTATTCAAAACAATACAAAACATTTATGTATTGAAGGTAAAATTAAGTTTATAAATTGTTTAAAACTATATCACATTGCCATTGGGACTTAAAGGGGTATACCTTACCTTTGTGGGAAAATGCTAGAAAAAACTTTATATTTAGACTGTTTTATTAAAAAATAAAAAAATAAATAAATAAAAACTATGAAAAAAGGTTTTCCAAAAAAGCCATTTAAGATTTGTACGTTTTCCTTCAAAACCATCTTATTATGGTAACTTTTTATTAACTATAACGATAGAAAAAAACCGTAAAAGGGTATAAACTATAAGGGTTTTTATGACAATTTTTTCTAGTATTAAATGGTTTAAAATAGGTTACAAATTTTTAAATGACTTTCATTAGAAATTTACTAATTTCAAGTGATCTAATGAAAACTTTTATTTTTTTAATTTATACTAACTTTTTTCTTAAAAATTATTAAAACATAAGAGTTTTTTTTTAGCATTTGCCCTACTTTCTTTATCTATATATTGATTGGACAAGTTTTTCTAAGGTTATTTTTTATAAAAATAATGAATAAGACATTTACATCTTTTTACAGACTTACCTAAGGTCATCTCCAATGGTAGTTTAATGGAGAGTTGAATGGGGAGTTTAATCCCATTAAACTCAAAATCCCCATTGTGGGTTAATGATATGGTACTCAATAGAATGGGGAGTTCAATCTCCATTGAACTCCACACTCTCTCTCCTCACACACACATACATAAATGATAAATGATGTGGCAATCCATTAAAATTGTATTAGGTTTAATGGAGTATAGAGTTTAATAGATAAAATTGTATTGTGAATGACATGTACATGTGGTAATCCATTGAACTCATTTGAGTTCAATGCATTGAAGATGGCCTAATAGCTGAACAAATTTCTGCAATGGGCAACATTTTTGGATGCTGAAGGTCGAGTTGTGTCTCCAGATGATTTGAAGAAGAGAAGTTTCTATGGAGGAGTGGATCACAATTTACATTAAAAAGTTTTTTTTTTGTCAAGTTGAGTGTAAACTATAATTTTAATCTCATGTGATTTTAGATTTGGAAATTCATATTGGGATATTATGCATACGATTCAACATATACACAAAGACATTATCTCTCCACCATTAAGTACTCGGAATATGAAACCCTCAAAAACCAATGGCAGATTTGTCATTAGTTAACAACTTAACATATCTTTTTTTGGAAATTCATAATTTTAATCTCATGTGATTTTAGATTTGGAAATTCATATTGGGATATTATGCATACGATTCAACATATACACAAAGACACTATCTCTCCACCATTAAGTACTCGGAATATGAAACCCTCAAAAACCAATGGCAGATTTGTCATTAGTTAACAACTTAACATATCTTTTTTTAAATAAAATTCTGTAACATTTATTTATTTTCCACTTGCAGAGCACTTCCACGACACAATTAATAAAAGAAACCTAATTTAAAGAAACAAAGTTTCTAATCAATAAAGATGTGGTATAACTAATTAACTATAACAACATATTCTTCATTAAATATTTGGACTTTTTTTTATAAATATTAATTAAACTTAATTTGTATTTTTTTAGGGTAGGAAATGATCAAATGCTACGATTCTATGAAGGTGATGGCAATGAAAGCGTGAATATTCTACGTCATATTTTGATGACATGCTCATTTTACAACTTTGAAATCGGTTACCGTTAGATAATTTTTTACTAATTCTTTTAACTCCCTTAATATAATATCAATTTTATTTATTTTTGTTAACAGATGAAATATAATAATAAACTTTTACAATCTATGAATGATTTGTTATCCCAAATTCTTTATGTCATGGAAGATGACTAAGAAGCTTTTTGGTGTTTTGTTTATTTAATTGAACAATTTGGACCAAATTTTAATAATCAAAGTGGCATGAAACTTTATTTTTTTGCATTGTCAAAGGTTCTTTCTCTCTCACCTTTGTGTGTGTGTGTTTTATATACCTCATACGAAAGGTGTTTACATCTTTTTGCATATACAACAGCTAGCGAGTGAGTGCTTGACTTTTAGTCATAAGCCTAAAGTACCCATCTATCATTAAAGAATATGGTTTTTAAATTGAAGATAATTCTTGATAATTTGTAATCATGACAACAAGGGCAAATATGTAATTAGAGTGTTTAACATGGCAACTAATGGAGATTCTAGACAAACAAATGTGCTTTATCGTTTATTCATACCAATTTTCTTGCATGAATTTACTCTCTTTCTAATCCTAAAAGGTTGTATGCATTGGTAGAATGCATGGGATTAGGTTGTAAATGAACTGAACGTTTAGCGAACCGTTCATGAACTGTTCGGCGGAAAGTTCGTTTATGTTCGTTTATTTAATAAATGAACGAGCATGAACAAAAATTATCGTTCGTTTAGTTAAATGAACGAACATGAACAATGGTCTCGTTCGTTCAGTTATGTTCGTGAACGTTCGTTTATGATGTTCATTTACGTTCGTTTATGTTCGTTCGTTTAAGTTTATTTATATTCATCTATATTCAATTATTTTTTATTATATTACTATATTATATGTTCGTTTATGTTAATATATGTTCAATTGTGTTTTTTTTTATCTTTGTTCGTTTACCATGTTCACGAACATAAATGAACGAACATGAACAAAGTAATTTGTTAAACGAACGAACATGAACAAGAAAATCTCGTTCGTTTATCCGTTCGTGTTCGTTTGTTGTTCAGCTAACTTAAACGAACGAACATGAACAAGACCTTGTTCGTGTTCGTTTGGTTCGTTTACAGCCCTACATAAGATGGCCTAATTGGAGTGCTTATTTAGGAGAGAATTCTATATGATGGCATGCAAGTCGTTTGTGTACTTCCATCCTTATTATACCCTTACTTTTTCCCAAATTTCCCCTTTCTCTATAAACTTTTTCATATTTAATCTGGTAAGTGGTAATACCATAATCACTTAGATTTGAGCTTCAACTTAATTTTCTATCAGTTGAAGTTGTCTACATCTACTTCCTTCTTCATGTAATCAATACTACTAGATACCGTGGTTTTATTTGGAAAATAGGTATGTTCATCTTTTTAACATATTAGTTTTGATTGTTAAAATTTAGTTGAAAACATTATTTTTGGTATTTTATTAACTAGGTTTAGCCAACTTTTGAAATTGGAAGATAAATCGACTTATTTGGCAAGTTAATTTTGAATTTTCATCCATTTTGAAAATCTATTCAAATATGTTAATAGTGACATTGACGTTGTTTTCGTAGACAATAAGGACAGGTTGGATTCATGGCAAATTACACAGTGAAAACCAATTTAGAGAATAAACTTCAGATAGCAACAATGTATAAAACAGATGGGCATACACACAAAATGAACACCTTCCACCCTTCCCTTCAATTCTAGTTCTAAAATAAATACTAATCATCTATACCCTATAACCTAATATGAATTTGTTATGATCGTTGGACTTTTGATTATGCTATATATTGCGTTAACAACTCATAATGATTACAACTCGTCTCCGACGATAGCAACATCCGAAGACCCACCGGTAATGGCTGAATAAATCTTCCATAGAACCACAACCACTACCAGAAAGCCCACGAGGATAAACAATGGTGGATTGTTTGAAGCAACCTGTTTGCTTTCTTCCGCCATAATTGGTTTCACCGGTGGTCGTGGATTTGACGGAAGCGGTGGTTTCTTATCGACTGCGTTTACTTTTCTCTCAGTCAACGTTTGTGAACCGGTGGTGATCGTCGATGAAGTCACCGGAGTTTCATCAGGTTTTGATGGCAAAGGTGGTTGAATGGAACGATCTACATTTGAATTGGAATTCTTCTCAATCTCATTGATTGAGTTACCATTGTTCTTCTCAATTTTATCGATTTTCATGACGTCGGATTTATTCACATTGATTGAGTCGTCGTCGATTTTTTGGATATTCTGGCCGATATCCTTGATTTTGTCATCTCGTACAGGTGATGAACTTTGTGATTCGTTTGGAGTTTCTGATGAATCATTCCCATGAATCTTTTTCTTCTGTTGAATGAGAATGCAATCGATCATGAAAAGATAGAACAAAATTTAACATATAACAAATTAACTCACCACAGCTGTATCAAACAAAACGGCTTTAAAAATACGAGACATGCGGGAAGAAGATGATTTCTTGATGTCTGGATCAACGCAATTGCCGGAGACATCACAATATACTAAATTATCATCAGAAGCCAAAGCCTTTCGTCCGCTGCCAGAAGAAGGATCGTCGCCGGAGGTCGCTGGTTTGAAGAAGTTCTTGAAGATCAAGCTTTTTCCTCTCTTCTTCTTCTTCTTTCTTTTTGAACCATGATCATCCATCGTCTTGTCACGAAAGGAGAGATCGATCACATGTGTTTTTTATCCAAATAAATTCTTATAATTTTCCAAAACTCGATTTATATTTTTAGATCGAATTCTACGTGAGAGCGGCCGGTTTTGCATGTTTTAAGCGTTTTTAGATGATGTGATTATTGTGGCTTGTGAATTATGATGCAAAATTGCATCACGTGTTCATAATAAATTTAAAATAAAATTCTTTGATGGTTATTATTGTAGATTCAAGTTTGGATAATTAAAGATCGTAATACATTTTAAACACTTTTTTTAGTTTTTTGTATTTATAACAAAAATGAAATCCTTTTAAAAGAGTATAAAATTTTTTAATAGATACTTGTAGAAATAAAATTCATATTATGCATTATTCAAGAAATAAACAATAACAGTTTTTGTTACTCGATAACCTTTTTAAAATATTGACTTGAGAATACGATTAGTTTAAAGTTGAATAAAAGTAATATGATCACGATAATACAATTAAGTTATACATAACTTTTTGTTAGTACAGAATAATATTTATAATATATATGAAGTGGTTTGTCTTTGTTCCTAAATTAATTCAATTAAAATCACCAACACTAAAATCAGTTTAGAGCATACCACATAAGAAAATTATATAAGGCGCAATGATATATTTAACAAAAAATAATTATTAACTAAAACTTGTAGTTTATATATATATATATATATATATATATATATATATATATATATATATATATATATATATATATATATATATATATATATATATATATATATAGGGTTTAGGGAATATGTACCTAATGTTAGATATAAAACTATAAAATATTACACGGTTTTAATATAATGCAATCAAATTTCTATACCATCTTTTTTGTATCCCATCTTAGAGCTTATGTTGAGTTTTTTATATATTTTTATGGAATTTTATAAGTTTAATATTACACCACAAACCATATATAAAAATATTTTGCCAAATTGAAATTTAATATAGAAAGCTACATTGAAAGATTGAAATTGATCATTAAAAAACCCACTAAAATTATTTTCATCAGCCACCATAGAAAAACCGTACAGGTATACATAAGATATGTGTTAAAAGAGTTATGAAACCTACTAGATATCTAATAATAAACACATTCGAAATAGATAGATATTTAAAATTAATCACAAACTCAAGTATAATATAAGTTCAAAGAAAACAGGAAGAAACTAACAATAAAAGAAAAATGTGTTTTTTAATCAAAATGAAGTCAATTTTGATGGTTCTATATCTAACATTATATACATGACAACCAAATATTCACTTTTCCCATATATATATATATATATATATATATATATATATATATATATATATATATATATATATATATATATATATATTGTAGCACCTGGTTCCCGGTGCGTACTCCTTACAATTTACATTTTTAAATAATGCATTTTTGCCTTGGACTCGGCGAGTTGATAGGCCAACTCGCCGAGTAGGAGTGGGATAAGGTGCGAGGACTGAACTTTGGACTCAGCGAGTAGACCCTGTTTGGGCAAAAACCCTAATCCGGGTGTTTGCACCATATTTAAACGCTCTAACTTAGCCTCATTTGTCCCTAACACTTCCAGAGAGATTTAGAGCGAAACCCTAGCCCCCGTATTGTTCTTGAGAGTGTTTTTGGCTTTGTGAAGAAGGTTTGGAGCTTAGAAGAAGAAGGAAGAGATTGAAGTGTGCAAGGAGGAGAGGTAGATCCGGAATCTACACTGTGAGAAGCTTCCATTCAGGTAGAAAAGTTCTTACCTTGATCACTAGTTTATTAGATCCCCTTTTTGTCCCAAGTTAGTGGTTTTCAAGCCCTAAAACCTCAAGCTCCATGTGTTTATGCTCTATGTTCTGAAAGGACTCCAGATTTGAACCTTATGGGCGTATTAGAAGTATAAAGTTTCTGTGGTTGAAGTGACTGAGCTCCCCATTGAGTGTATGACCTAATTAAGAGCTTGGTTTTGCCTTTTTGAGCTTATAGGGCCATGCATGCATGTAAAGTTTGCAACTTTACGTGATAAGCATGTCCAAGGAACATGGATCTATGGTTTGGAAGCGTTGCATATCTCAGATTTGGTCTGTATGGGAAATGGGTCAAAGGGACTCGGTGAGTCCCAAGGTGGAACTCGGCGAGTTCTATGTAGGTGGCCTTAGACTCGGCGAGTTGGATGAACAACTCGGCGAGTCATATGAATCTTGCCTGAAACTCGATGAGTTGTTCTTAGACTCGGCGAGTTGTTCTTGGACTCGACGAGTCGGATCGTGAGTCGGTTCTATAGTCCCAAGTAGTGAGTTAAGGGTGACTCAGTGAGTGGGAAGAGGGACTTGGCGTGTAGGACCAGGTTAATAGGAAAAGGACTCGGCGAGTCTGTGCCATGACTCGGCGAGTCCAGTCAACTGGAAGTTGACTTTGACCAAGGAGTTGACCTTGGACCAGGGGTATGTCAGTCATTTGATCTGAGGGTATTTATGAGTGGCTAATCTATGTTTATGGATTTGTAGCCAAAGGACTTTCGGTGCAGCAGTCAGACGTCCGACAGTCAAACTTTTGGTAGCTACTTTTCGAGGTGAGTTTCCTACCAGTAGGAACGGGTCTAAGGCACCAAGATCGGCCCGTATAGAAGATATGATAGTATCGGAGTGTGGGCAGAGCCCGTATCTCATAGTTGAGTTTGATGATGATATATGCTAGTGTGGTAGAATTATTTATACTTGTTGTCTGTGTGATACTTGTATGTTATGGTTTAGTAGCGGAGTGTGGGCGAGGCCCGTATCTTCCAGATAACGGAGTGTGGGCGAGGCCCGTATCTCCCAGATAGTGGAGTGTGGGCGAGGCCCGTATCTCCCAGATAGCGGAGTGTGGGCGAGGCCCGTATCTCCTAGATAGCGGAGTGTGGGTGAGGCTCGTATCTCCTAGTTAGTGGAGTGTGGGCAAGGCCCGTATCTTCATGAGTGTGGGCGAGGCCCGTATCTCTTAGTTGTTCATTATATGATTGTATGGTATGTGGTATTATGGGGGAACTCACTAAGCTTCGTGCTTACAGTTTAGAGTTTTGGTTTCAGGTACCTCTTCAGCGAAGGGGAAGGAGCTAACACGGTAGCGGCACATCATACACACCCCTTGTTTTCGCATTATGAGATTGTTCTGGGATTTGTACTCTGACACTATGGTTGATTCCATGTATTGGTTTTCAGACATGTAACATGATTTAAGAAACGATATGATCAAATGTTGTTTATTTTCAAATGTTTTGCAAGGTGTTTAATTAAAATTGAAATTTTTGGAAAAAAAATTTTTGGGTTGTTACAAGTTAGTATCAGAGCCCTGGTTTGAGGGATTAGGACACACCCTTGGGGATGTCTGAACTCAAATCAAGGGATTAAAGGGTTACAATAAAAAGTTTTCTAAAGGATTAAGTAAAGAGTTTTACGAAAGAACGAAGTGTGTGATGTGCGCGATCGGCCGAGCTCAAGTAAGTATTTCCCAAAATACCCATACAAGTTTATGTTATGTTTAACAGTTTCAGTAGAACAACATGCTAGAATAGGACTAAGGATCTAGGAGTGATGCCTTACATGCATGCTTTATGTACTTCATCTTATGAGAATTGCTTGCTAGTATTGAGTAAACAGCAGTAGGATAGCCTGTTTAGGTTATACCTGACAGTATGAGTTTAGCACTGTATGCTAGACTCGTTTCTCTCTATGAGGACAGAATTGCTTGAGGTTGTTCCCTTTTGTCTGAATGATGCTTACTTTGTGCTTTGTGGGGCTCTGAGTGATGGGAGTTAGCCATTAGGTGAATACATCATGTCACATGTGACCAGGGTTGAATAAACTTAAAGTGCTGGATTTGGCCCTATTGCGCAACTCTCGTTTGATTCTAACCGTTGTATGGATGAGTCGGTTACTCGAAAGATTATCCGAGCCTCATCACATGTGATGGTATTCAGGTAATGACTAATTGGCATCACAAGGAGGCCTTCAACAGCTGAGGACCGGGTAGGGTGGAGTAAGAGGTTTCCCTAGGGCAAGCCTAGGATGAGTATAGCAGTGATCAACAGTGGTGAAAGGGATCTGGTGGAGTCGAGGTAGTCCTTGAAGAAGGTACGGATAGATGTGGAAGATAGTATGGGCCCATACTACTGAAAGCAGAGGATCCGTACCCGAAATAAGGAAGGCCGAGACAAAACCAGGGAACTTGAAATAGATGTGATTCCTTTAGAAGTATTAGTATCACTAATGGTTGTCGTGTCTATTGTCGAATGGTGGTACTACGTCAGAGGCCAGGTGGTGGCAGTTCTAGGGAGGGATCGGGTTCAGGATCAGGTTACGAGCCATTATATGAGAGGCTATGCGAGTTCATGGCGTCAAAGATCACCAGAGGCATCCTTGAGTCGACCCCCATCATTTTCGGGTCGATCAAGGAAGGGATAGTCGAGCTGATGGAGGACCGCCTCAGGGCGTTCAGGAGTGACATGGCATCTGGCCAGTCAGGATCTCGCACACTGTCCTTTAAGGACTTCAGGGGTAGTGGTGCGCCGGATTTCCATGGGGCGAAGGACCCCATTGCTGCCAGACAATGGATTGCGGACATTAAGTCTGCACAGCTGACTAGCTTCTGCCCCGAGGGGTCGAAGGTGAGATACGCAGCAGGGTGTTTGAGAGACAGAGCTAGAGATTGGTGGGAGTCCATAGGTGACTCGTTGGGAGCCTCGGATGTTGAGGCTATAACCTGGTCGGACTTTGTGACCAGGTTCAGGGCAGAGTTTGCGCCGTCTGTCGAGCTTCAGCAGCTGGCCAGGGAGTTCTTAGACATGAGACAGACTACGGAAACTGTGGCGAAGATCATCGCCAAGTTCTGGGAGAGGGCATTGTTGGTGCCCCAGTATGCTAGAGATGAGGATATGAGGAGGACCCGCTACCATGACATGCTCCGCGCTGACATCCGAGAGCATGTTAGCTTTTCAGCTTGCCCTACCCTGGAGTCCATCATTGCTATGGAGAGGGAGATTGATCTGGAGCATATCCGGAAGAGGAAGGCAAAGGCGGTGCAGGTAGCTGGGGCTTCGGGGAAGAAGCCCAAGGGATCAAATGGTAGGCCGAAAGGCCACGGAGGAC